ATAAAAAATGTTGAGAAGCCCAAATTGCCCAAACTAGTTTGGGCTTTGAGAAAACAGTTTGGACCAGAAACCTTAACCAAGAACTTCATGGAAGGATTATCAGCTTGATGAGTACTTCCAAAGAAAGTAAAGAAATCTCAAGAAGCAAGAACTAAGTTACACCTATGAATAAGTGAACAAGATACCTATACCAACTTTATGATTGAAGATATCATGTCTAATGAAGTTTCTCTCTTCATTATTTTTATTGACAACATATCAAGATATAGGAAAACCAATTAATAATAAAAATGTATGTATAAAAAAAATTTCACTTGAATAATTTCATTCCTTGGTTACATGATTTCTTGCTAAAACTTTATGGCAAAGAAATATCAGTTGCTCAAGATAGTAACTTATCCTTCCCATGATACAATGTGCTTATTTTATTAATGACTCAGAAAAAAATTTTATTTCTATTTTGAAATTCACACATTTGAACATTTCTTGTGAGAATTTGACAAAGGCCTTAACAAAGAAATCTCTATCCAACGTATGTATGTCATCAGTTTTATTTTGGTCTAACCATATAACAATAAGATCTATTTATGACTTCTCTAAAAGTGATTTTTCTAGCTTTAATGATTATCACTTTTTTAGTTCAACTTCTTTCAAGGATATTATGAACATGAAAGCAACAATGAATCAACAAATGACAGATTTTTTTGATCATTTTGTTAGCACCTTAATATTTGATACTCGGAAACATTATTGGAATTTGGAACATAGAACATATTCCCGTGTTCCAAAAACCTTTTTATTTCTATGGTTAAAGGCCAATATCGTCCTTTTCTAGTTGTAAATGTAAAATCTTCAAAATTATTATGGAGTGACAAAATTAAAATTCTTTACCAAATTATTAAAGGTTTAAGAAATATGCATGGACTAAATAGTGGCAATATTCTTCATCACGAAAAATTATTCATACTGATTATTGATTTAGTTTTTCAAGCATCACCATCAAACAAAAATGAGTATTCCCATTTGGCACACCAAAAATTTTTAAGAGATAAACTACAATGCATCATATAGGGTATTGATGTAACTGGTTTGGGCGGATTTATTATAAATGTTCAAGTCAACAAATTGTTTAGTTAAAAAAATACTTGATGAAATGAATAAAATTATGATCCTCTAACAACTATTTATAAATCTTCCTCGACCTGTGATCTAAATATGCAATTGTTGATTTTAACATATTAACTATTAAACGTAATTCGTTGAATTAACTATATATATTTAACTGAGGGGAGAGGATACAGCAATTTTCTATTTTTAGAAATTTTAAAAATTTTCAGATAGGGGAAAGTTTCTTCATTTATTTTTTTTAAATAAGAAAAATTAAAAAAATGATGAATCAATCAAATAGTAATATCGACGACAGTGATATTATTAAAGACAATACCGAGAATATTAAAGATAACGAAAATCTTAAAAATAATAATGTGGTGAATATTATCAATAATATCGTTAATAATGGCAAAATTTATGATAAGATTAATAATCACAACAACAATATCATAGATAACTCCAACATTGATAGCAATAATAGCAAGAATAATAATAATATTGCTAAAGACATTAGCAATATTAGTGAGAATAATAATAACAGCAGCAGTAATGACAAGAATACCCAAAATGACAACAAGATCAATACTAATAGCACCAATACCAATAATAGTGAGGATAATAATGTCAACGATGATATCAAAAATATTAATAATATGAATTCGACCATTTCAATAACATCTTCGCCAGTATCAATTATTTCTATTCCATCCTCACCAGAAGAAATTACCTTCACATTTACAACAGAAACAATTCAGCGAGTTTTCTCATCACCAGAATTATTATTACACATATTTTCATTTTTACCTGTTCCAACTTTAATAAATAATTGTCGTTTAGTATCTAGATTTTGGTATCGTGTTGTTAACATACCACCAAAAATTATTGCTTACATCAATTCACTTAAAAAAGCTAAAATTTATATTCTTATGGAAAGTACAATATGTGATTATAGCACTAGTGTTAGTATTGTGGGAGCATACGCTAATAAAACTAGAGCAACAAATCAATTGATTCGTAATCACATTGATGGAGTTATTGGTCATGCATATGAATATAGTCCTGATGGTTACTATACATGTGATCTTAATGATGATCATAAAGTTAGATCAACTGGAAGAAAAGATAAAGAAGGGTTGGTTTGGGAATTGAAGGGTGTTACATTAGATACAGAAGTTGAAGTTGTAGAAGAAAAGGATTACGAGGATGAGGATTACGAATATTTGTGGGAATAAGATAATTAATAGCAATAATAATATGTTGATTTTGCAAAGTTGATATATACATGTAGATAACATTTTTATACACAATAAACTTTATTATATATAACCCAGCAGTGATCAAAAAAGGATTAAACTTGTATTTTCTTCTTTCTTCTTTATGATATTGATAAACAACAAATGGTTTAATTACAATTAGGAAAATCTTTAGTAACAATATATTTTAGGGTAGTGATTGTTTCTTAACTCTAGAAATTTCATCATATGGATAAAATATTTATATAATTAATTGATGGAAGGTGCTACGAAATGATTTCGCAGGTTTCGTCACACGTTTTTATATTTTAGAAAACAAACACACCAACTTTACACGTATTTCCAAATTATCAATTACGTATTTATTTTTGATTTTTAGCGTTAATATTTAAGTTCTCATCGCGCAAAAATTCTTTAACCGGTTAGTTTAATCACGTGAAATTTTTAACTGGCAAATTCGGATAATAATAATATAATACTAGTCTAGTAATATGTACTATCCAATCCAATTAATTATTTTTTTCTATTTTTCCTTCGGTACTCCTTGTAGTGATAATAATAATCGTGGTAGCAATAGTAAAATTTATTTATTTACTTTCTTAGTAAATTAATAATAAATAATAGTTGTAGTGATTGGTTTTTTCCCTTTATAGTGATAATAGCAATTTATTTTTTTTTCTATTCGAGTAAAATGAATAAAACGAATAACTTGAATAAAACAAATAATTCGAGTTGTATTACGAATAGAAACACTAGTCATAAGTCACATCCAAGCCCATCCAAAAAAAAAGTAAAGATTGATACTCTTTAAAGCAGCAGGAAACTCTAACGCAGTATATAGCATTACCCATGTTTATTTCATCATTATAAATATAGATTATGTTTTGGTATTTTGTATTTAGTTTTATATGTATTCTAGTTAGATAAACAACAATAAAGAGTTAATCGGTCAAAAAAATATTGCGGTTGATGGTGTTAACCTCTGGTCCAAAGCTTCTGGAGATCCATTTGTCAGATTCTATTAATTCCAACATTCATTTGATTTTGTCACTCATATTAATTCATTTTGATCGATCATTTATTGATATGAAAGCCTTCATAAACATATAACCAAATCCAAGCCCTTTCCGTTTTCTACATACTTATCTGAAACATCTGGAATGAAATATCTTCGGACATCTTTATCTAAACGAATTGTTTTACTAATAATTAGATTTCTATCATCAAGGTATCACTATCAATAAAGTCTTTAAATCGATTTGCAAATGCTATCCAGTCACCAGACTTTGAGTTAGACATTTCTTCAAGAACAAGTAAAACTTCACCTTCCAATTCTTTATTAAATTGCCTGGTAATAATTCTTTCATTAGCAATTTTAGTAATTTTGGGCAAAAACCATTTCTCAGAGGAACCATGTAAGCATTATTTTACCAGTTCCTGGACCTGAATAGAGAAACGTTGATTTTGCATTTTTTGGCCAGTAGCTATTCATGAAATTAATCCCATCATATAGAGTTCTTGCTTTTTATCAGAAGAACAAAGGACTTCTCTCATATGGTTAAGTAATTAATAACTTTACCTGATCCTGGGTTTCTTTGCTAAATTGATAGAATGGGGGTGGATTAGGATGAAGAAATTGATTAATATAATACCCACCATCTGGAGCTTGATAGACACGAGGATGAGATGTATTAAATTCAAGGGCAAAGAATGGAGTCTTATTTAAAACCATGATAGAAAACTAAATTTCACCCCCATCATTAGGGATTCACAAGCATCTCTTTTATTATAATGCTTAACAGTTTGAGTTCTTGGCATCCATCTATATACTCCCACATCAGCACAAGCAAATATCTCAATAAATATACTTTAGCTGGTTGCAATTCTTGAGGAGTTTTAGCTGAAGCAAGAAGGGATCTAAGGTGTAAATCATTGAATTCTTTATTAGATGTGCTGAATACACTCATTTTTTTGTTATTGGTCAAATTAGTTCATTGCAAATTCTGGTCAAACATCTACTCGGATATTTATAGTATGGGTATGTTCAATTCAAAAAATTAGTATGTAAAAATTTGGTACAAAGAGCGAGTTGAAGATGGTACAAATTCGTCCTTATACCAAGAAAGTATTGGATTTGAGGTTCTGGAAGATAAATTAATGCATTTTGGATAGAAAAGTAGATTGGTACAAAGAGGCAATGGAAAAAATCGAAAAATTATTATATATTTAAGGGAGTTGTGGATAGGAATATTGAAAATCATCCTTTGCCCACTTGTACCAAATAATTTGATATATGTTTTATTTGTATATGGATAATGAATTTGGTACAATTATGGTATTTGTACCATCTTTGGACCACTTATACCACAGTTATGTGGCCTGAAATCGATTTGATATGTGAGCTCCTGGAGGGAACTTGTGTATAATGGTTTGAAAGTTTTATTTTTTGTCCCATTAGCTGACAATGAGATAAATTAAAAGTTCTAAAAAATTATAATTTAGAAAACATTTTACCTGGAAATAGAGCAACTATTATCCATCAGTTGTGGAATGACTTTGGCGATCCTTATACAGCCTTACAAGATCTTAAAACAGACCCAATTGCTTTTAAAAATTATGGTTGACTAAATTTCTTACATCATCAATTGGTGATCCATGTGAAAATAATTATATAAAAGGATATATACAAATAATGATGTGACTCCTTATATTCATGTGTTGGTTCATCATGTATGAATTTATGATGATCATCACAATTATGGAGCTGAGACATTCACATGTAGTCCTGTTGAAAAAAAAAACATATGCAAATAAATAAATATTTTAGAAAATGATAGAAATATACACGCAGCCTAAATTGGTTTGGTGATTTCAATGGTCAAAATTATTCCGATTTTGATGATAGAAAGTAGAAATTAATTACAGCACTCACTATTAATAACACTCCTTTATGGCATGTATAACCCCATTTATGACAGTGTCAAAATACTTGTATAGGTAGAAAGCAAAAAAAAGGCTTTAGAACATGAAAATCATTTTCTATATTATAATTATAATCAAATACCAACCATTAAAAACATTAAAAATATAATAAATTGAATATAAACAATTAGATTACCTTTTATAATTATATATATATCTTTTAATTCTAAAAATATTTTAATTGAATTGATTATTTTCATTATTAAATATTAAATTACAAAAGAACATTAATAAAAAAATATCACCTCCTTTATTTGTTAAAAAATTAATAATTATATTTGAAGAAATACTAATACCATTGACTTCTACTAACTCAACCTCTTTCCATGCTACTTTTATTGGATTATTAATAATATCTGCATAAACATATTGATTATTGTCATACATAATACCTAATTGCCCAATCTTCATCACCAATTAAATCTCTTAATTTTTCACTGCCTTCTTCTCCAATGAATCAACATAGATAAGAATGTCTAGCAGGCAAATATCATCTTTAAAAATGCCTAAGAACATACCCTCACTACATGAATAGTCAATGACTTTTCCCCTAAACTTCTATGATGTAAGGTCAATACTAAAAATTAATGATCTTTTAAATTCTGAAGGAGAAGGAACATTTAAAGGATACTCATGATAATTAGAATGTTTTCGTGTTTCATGTTGATTTAAACTATTTTTTGAATTATATAGTTAGCACAATTCTAAAGACCTAAATTTTGTGCAAATTTTAAAAGTATAGAAGTCATGTTCTGTCCTACCTTTTAAAAAATATCTCTATTGATTGATGGAATAAGTCTTTAATTTTAATGTAATAGAGAGATTTTCTAAAAAAATTATTTGTTGTAGAGTTCTATTCTTTTTTAAAACATGCACTTTACTATGCTCATGAGGAATTTGAGTGCCAGGATCATTGCTAAATTTAGACTAACAATCGACAATCATATCTAAATTTGGCAAGAAGGAAAATAATTGTTTAACAAAATCACGTGAAGACCTTTCATTGCATTTTTGAACGAATCACGAAATCGCAATTTTTGTTGAGCGCGTGGCGCAGCAACAGGAGGTCTTTAGACCGAACCAACCATATATTAATATATAAAAAAATTTTTTATTTTGCAAGAAAAACTCTCTTCAATTGTATTATTGGATTTATTTCCTTCCTCGCCATTATCACTATTTTCTTTCATCTCCTCGTCTTCTTCATCTTTGTTATCATTATTGTCATAACCACCATCAACCAATTCTTGTTCGTTGGTATTATGAGATCGCGTCCGTATGTTGATGATCAATAACCGTGTAACATAATGTTCGCTTTGTCTGGTTTTGTTGCAGTATGTCCCATATTAATATATACAATTATAATTATGTAATTAATTATTTTTCAAGCTTTCTTTCTATTTTTATCATTCTCGCCCACACACACTATTCTTGTACATAATTATATTTTCACATTTTAATATATATATATGTTATAAGTTCAATTTCTAAAAATATATAATAATATGGATGATAGGTACATAAAGATTGAAAAAGTTGGAGAAGGTTGGTTTTTTTAACAATATTGTGAATTCACGAGCCATAAATAAATCAAATTTTAAAGAATTTATTTTATTATCTTATTATTATTATGGTTATTTTTATAATAATAAAATCAATAAAAACAGGGACATTTGGTGTGGTATATAGAGGTAGAGATCAAAAAACAGGATGCGTTGTTGCATTAAAAAAATTTCGTATACAAAATCAGTTTGCTGGTGGTGGTAGTAGTATGCCAGGCATACCTTATACAGCCATTAGAGAAATATCAATACTAAAGAGAATTAATAATAAGAACATTGTGAAGTAAGGCGTTCTTTTTTTAGAGGAAGGAATTTTTGTGTGTGGTGGATGATGTTTGATTTTGTTAAAATCTTATTAATAATTATTAATTATAATTGATAGATTATTGGATACAGTTCAATCTGAAAATAATATATATTTGGTATTTGAATATCTTGAAACAGATTTAAAGAAGTATATAAAAAATAATGGATTATCAGAAATTATTGTCAAAGTAAGTAACCAATTAGATCAACCAATTTAGAAATTACATTAATTGATCGATTAATCAATTAATCATAATCTATCTCGATCTCTTTTTAAATTATTAAAGAAATTTTTGTGGCAATTAATGAATGGTGTTTGTTTTTGCCATTCTAATCGAATTCTTCATCGCGACTTGAAACCACATAATTTGTTGATTGATTCTAATGGAAATTTAAAACTAGCGGATTTTGGATTAGCAAGAGTATGTAGTCTTCCAATAAAAGCGTATACTCATGAGGTAATATCCATTTATTTCTAATCAATCAATTGGTCTGATTTATGAATAATTGTTATAATAAATCCTAATTATTACAATCATTATTATATAATAATATTATTATTGTAGGTTGTAACTTTATGGTATCGAGCCCCTGAAATACTTCTTGGATGTCAACAATATTCAACTGGTGTAGATATTTGGAGTGTAGCCTGTATATTTGCTGAAATGTTTTTGAAGGACGCTTTATTCAGAGGTATGTATACATTTAAAATATTTCTGGTAATGGTGAAGATGATAAGAGTTAAGAACTATAAGAATTTTTTTTTTGGAAAAAATTATAACTAGGTGGCAGTGAAATAGATCAACTTTTTAAAATATTCAGGTATATGATTTTTCTATATATAATTATTCATTTATATTATATTAATATTAAATGGTTTTTTTCTTCTTGCCCCGCATAAAATTTTATAAAACAAGTTTACTTGGTACGCCAAATGAAAATACATGGCCTGGAGTTTCCAATCTACCAAATTATAAAGTAATTTTTCCTAATTGGGCAGCAAAACCATTAAAATCACGTATTCCCAACCTGAACTATGAAGCAATTGATTTATTAGAGGTGTGTATGCACATATACTTATATACTTACTTATATATACTTGTACACACATAAGAGACGGATCAATAACAATTATATGTAATTTATATACATAGAATATGTTGGTTTATGAACCCAACAAACGAATTTCAGCAAAATTAGCATTGTATCATCCATATTTCGATAGTTATAACCAACGAAAACGTATAATACATTAATTCCGTTATTTTATATATGCTATATATGTAAAAGATATAATAATATTATTTTTTTCATTTTTTTAACGCAAATAAAAAATTGAAACCCCCGTGTCACGCACGGTTCTGTAGATTTTAAATTGTGTAAATTTTTTTATATTTTTCATACAGTGCACAATGATAAGTTGAATAAGCCTCCATATGGGCACAGTTCTGTATTGAACCTAATTCAACTGGGAATTTAAACTATGAAGTTGTGGTTTATAAGGAGAAGACTTGTAATCCGCAATATTTAATTGTTCATAGATTTATCATGACAGGTTTATTCATCAGATCGTCTATAATCAAAAATTGTTTATAAAATACTAAAGCAAAAAACATTGTAACATTTCAAAAATGTTAATTAGAACTTATTGGCTGAATTTTTCTTGGACTAAAAATTAGTATTAAATTTCGTGTAACAAAAGATTTTTTAAACAATTTATTGAGCCAGGAATTCCATTTAGTAAAGGAGAAGATAAGATATTACCGAGAGATAAATGAAACTCATCTTTTTCTTGCTAGATTATGTGCAAATAATGGTTTAATATTTCCTACTTTTCACATTTCTCCTACAAAATTTAATATATGAGCAATACATGTTTCATTTTTGGAATAAAACTTTCAACATATATGCAGCATTATCTGAAATAAAAGATATAATATTTTAAAAGAAATATCAAATTAATTAGCTGTGTTAATCATCAATTGAGAAATTGTAGGATTATTAACAGACAGTATCAAGGCAGCAATTCATGAAAGCTAAATAAAATATTAACTGCAGCACATCCACAAGCATTTGTTGATTCATCTGCTGTAATACTTACTCTTTAGTTTTTTAAACTTTCTAATTCATTAATGGAAAATATTTGTTTCTCATCAATTTTCTGTCTACATGAGTAAATAATGCATGAACTATATAGATCAAATCTTATTTGTTCATGTCCCCGGAAGGAGGTTGAAAACGTTCCAAAAGTTAGTGGTTGTATTAATAGTGCGTGCCATCTAAAGACATCAAATCCCAAATAACAATGATATTTTTTGGTGTCACGGGATTATAAAATCACATGACTCAATCATTTATTATATTGTATATATAACGGGAGTGACTTGTATTATGATATTTCCAATAATTAATTTGTTTTTATTCATAATTAACTTCGTTCCCCGTAATTAGTTTCGTCCCCCATAATTACATGTAAATGTTTGTAAATTTAGATAAAAGCAAAATTATGGCATATTCATTAATAAACAACTAGAAGTTCATTCTATATATCCCTATGGTTATTATTAATAAGAAATTTTGTATAGTTAGTTGGTTAACAAAAATTACTTTTTTAAACCAATACATTTGAGATCCAGAACTTACTATTAAAAGATCTTAGAAACTAGAAGTTCTATTTTATTTATTCCTATGGTTATTAAGAATTTTTGTATAAAGTTACAAGAAATGATAAGGTTTCTAACAAAATAACTTTGAATGTGAACTTAAATAATGAAAAAAAATGAAATTTTCTTCAACTAATAGCTTTTTATATCTTGTAAATTTTGCAGTGATCCTTGGGTTATATATGAATTTTATTAAAAAAATTTTTTTGTTCAACATATACAGAAGTATCACATTAGACCATTTGTAATATATATGAATTGATCAACAAAAAGGGTTCCAATTTTTCCAGAATCTATTTCCATATTTAGCTTATTCCCTGACTGAAATGCATTCAAGGTGGTGTGCATGCTTCAACATCTATAAAATTTCTGATAATCAAACATTGCATATTGAATTGTTTCTTTTTCAACAGACAATGCTGCCTTGGCATCTTGTGATTATATATTAATAATAGTGTTATTATTATGATTATGCAAAGCAAAATATTATCAATGAAAATCTTGTAATTACCCAGCAAGATCTGTTCTGTGTTTTGATCCTAATTAAAATATTTATAAACTAAAATAAAAGACACCTCATACATATCAATACAAATAAAAAAAGTACCTATGGTTAGTTATTAACACATTTCTTTAGGAGACTCAAACCAAACCAAACAACAACACCCATGTTTTGTCACCTTGGACTCTGTCAAAAAAAAAAAAAAATTCAATATATGTCTGTGTAAGAATTACTTTTCTTAACGAAAATAAAAACAATATTATAACACGTTTGTCGAACAGGTACTTTAATTATTGTAAAAATACAAGTTATCTTTATTATCTTAAAAATGATGTCCTTTATATAATAAAATTACATAGATTGATATGATATAAATAAAATATAAATAATCATAATAATTCTTATCAATCTATCTGGAAGATTTGTGGACATAGATAAATAGTAAATAATAACTAAAGACATGAAATAATTGATGTTACAAATAATGATTAATTATGTGTCACGTTTCTAGATGTAAATATTGATGTGCTACACAAGACGTTATATATGATTACAAAGTAAATTGTTACAGTCTGTCCTCCCAAAAAAAAACCAATAGGATAAATAATTAATGGTGTACACGTCGATCAAATAACAAACTTCTTTTATTATAAACATGTCACAAAACAACAATAAAAGAAGTAGAGAAAATGAAATGAGGAATGATGTTTAAGTGTTTTAAGGATGGTGGTGGTTATTGCCCACCACTCATCATTACTCTATTTATTATCTCTGCATTTTACTATATATAGGGGGTGTTTGTCTTAGTTGGGGAATGTTGCAATTGATAGAAAAATTTTTAAAAATGATTTAAAAATATTAAATATACAGGTATTAAGTCTCACTTATTTAATTAATATTAATGCTTTGCATATATTACAGTTAGCATAATATTTCTAACATCCAATTTTGAACTCAAATCCAAGGGATTGACTATTTATGATGTCTTAAACAATGTTGTGCAAAACTTTGGCCCAGATCATTATGATTATGATGATCCTATATCCAGTTGCATGCTAGATACATATGGATCTTAAAGACTAGTGCTGTAAATTATGATGATGGTAGTAATTGTATTTACAGCATATAAAAAGTGGTTGCAATTACCTTTGCGACCACTTTTGCAACCATAATTTTACAGCACTAGTCTTTAATGGACCTCCAATGTGGATAAAAGATAATTATCCCAATTGGAATTTGTTATCATCATCAGATGGCTCAGTTTTTTTCTCACCTAAATCAAATGCAATTACTGAACATAACATCAATGAAATAAAGAATCATTTGTAAGTTGCATAATTTTTATTTTTTTCAAAAAATGCATACAAAATTTTTCATCTAATATTTTTTTAATTTTAAGTCAATATTTGCAAAGGAATCAAACTTATTTTAAAGTTAAAAAAAATAAAACAAATGAGGACACATGGAAAATTGATTCCATATGTATACCACATGGTATCAGTCTGAACTTAAAACAGACAAAATCAGGTAAGATAAAAATGATAAAACCAAAATCAAATTGACGAATCACAAACATGGGCTACAGATTAATGAAGATGGCAGATTATTTTGAAAACATAGTATTACAGCTTTATATTTCTTAATATTAATAATATTGTATTGGTGCAGCATTGTGTTGAAAAATTTTATATATTATTTACTCTTTTGTATTAAAGATAATTTGAGATGTCTATCAAAGAATATAAGCTTTTTTGAGACTGCAGGTCAAGAAGTCACATGAATTTTGTTCAAAGTGAATTTAGTAATTCATAAAACATCCATTTAACTTGATTCAATGAAACCTAATTCTCAAAGGTGCTTTGGGATAACTATGGGTCTTCATAATACCAAAACATCCAACTTTTTTTACAATTCTTTTTGAATTTGCTACAATTAATGCCAATCATTGTGGTATAATCATGTAGTTATCTGCAAATTTAGTGAAACCTCTGAATATCAGCAAAAATTATGTGATTAAATAGAATATTAATATTTATTATCACAAAAAAAAATATCCGCAAAATTATAAATATTCTAATTCATAAAACAATTTCAGAAAAGATATCTGAATTAGTAGTTCATAAATCAATTCATATATATTGTTTAAATGTATAGCTTGCTTAATATTAATATAACGTTTGAATTAATAAAAAATAAATATATATCATTAATTGACAAAATAGACAGGTTTATTATAGTAAGTTATGTTCATAACTAATCTTTTAGAAATCATTGGCTTAAAAAATTGGGGGTGTCACAATCTAATTAAATCAAAATTAAGTCCAATAAAATTCTTTCCTTCTATAAATGCATCCCTCCATAAATGCATGCTCTCATCCATTCCCAAGGGGGTGCATTTATGGAGGTTCACTGTAATTAATTGGGTGTTGAAAATTTTCATTGGATAATTGGTGAATAATCAATCAGCAGTACAGAAATATAAAAAATAAAAATTTTTATCCACATAATTGAAAAAATTACTAATACATTAACATGTAAATACTATTTTATGCACTATTACACTATCACCAACAATAATAACATATCAAGTAATATGAATACTGACTGTGTCATTATTATCTAAAGAATGAATATTTATGCATTGTAGTAACTTCTACTCCAAATGAGCAGACCTTGTCACAGTGGACCATAATCATAGATTTTTAAAATTTTTGCTTCACATTCACATTAAAATATAAAAACTTAAAAATCCATTGTGGCAAGATCAGTAAATCTTGTCACAATGGGTTTAAATAAATCTTTATTCATCTGCTGTGACAAGGTTTGACTGTATTTAGTGAAGCTGGAAACATAATGACAGCCGAATGAATAAAATTGAATCCATTGTTATTTGTATTTCTTAAGAAAACTATGCAATGTATTGGAAATATTTTTCCTGAAGAATAAATAATTATTATAAATCAATGAATATTCAATGGATATCCGGTGGATATTTGGTGAATGACCAATTATCCGGGTGTTGAGTTTTATTGACTGACCAATTATCCAGGTGTTGAGCTTTATTGATTGACCAAGTACTCAAACACCTGGATAATCAATGGGTACAACAAACACTACTAAATTTTTTTCTAAAAATTCCAGAATGCTGAGCATTAATAAATTAGGAAATACTATTTATGTTATAATTCCAGACTGTAATAGCAATGATGATAATTTTTTTTAACCAAAAAAAAAAATTTTTCAAACATTTCACATTAAAGCTTTTCAATCCATCGTGATTTCCTGAACATTTAGGTAGCAAATTATTTCCTTTTCCAATTTTCTTTCTAAATTCTTCATGGTTTGTGATAAAGTTCTTTTACTGGTTATGATTTTTCTTTCTTCTTGGTAAATTTTATAGGTAATCCTTTTTTTTCTTAGATAAGCTTCAAGTGCCTGAGTGAGTATCATCTATTTTGAAATGTAAGAAGCAATTTTTTCACCTTGTTCTTCAAAATACTTCTAATGGTGTATACTTTTTGAGTTCCATAGTAGATCTAATATAAATGAGTTTCATATTAACTATTTTTGTTTAGACAAATATTACATTGGTAATACAATTGTGATGTTAAACTGATCCCTGAAATTTTTGGTAATACCAATGTTCACTTTGTCTGGTTTTGTTGCAGCATGCCCCATTTATTGTATCAAATTAATTCAATGAAAAAGACCTACTATATATGGATTCTGAAACTTGAGATCAAGTAGGAGAGTTATTTCAGGAAGTAATAGGTGAACTTGAAACAAGTTAAATGTTCATGATTTTAATATCATAAGTGAAGTGTGAGAGAGAGGTCAAAGAATATGGAGAGAAGAAAAACAAGTTGATCAAAATTGAGCTGCTAAATATCATGAATCTGAATTCACAATAATCATTTCCCTAGATGTGTAAAGAGGAAGAGATGGAGAATGGACAAATGATTGGTACTTTTGAAAATGAAGGAATAGCCAAAAAATTAAGAGATCCAGAAACTTATTACAAAAAATGAAACATCAAACCAAAAGCTGAACTAGAAAAAGAATTAGCAGAAATTAAGCAAAGTAAACATCCCCTCTTTGATTAATTCCAACTATTTTGATAACAGCAGGGCTAATCACAATAGCACTTTGGATGCTAGAAATAAGAAGAAAGAAAAATAGAAATTAGGAAAGTGCTATTCTACATTGCACATGGCATTAGATGTTCACTTTGGTCTGGTTACAGTAATGATGGTGGCTGAAATTATTATTTTAGAAAATCCGAAATAGTTCTGCCCACAGTTTAGGCAATTTTGGAGTTTTGCCAATTTTGCCAGACAATTCTCAAGGGTGAAATTAGGCCTAAACCAAAATTGCCTAAATGCCTAAACTATGGGTTAGTTTCAACCATCATCATTAGGTTACAGTATATTCTATTTGCACTTTATTAAATAAACTTTAGTAAATGATTTATTCTCAATTTTACTTCATTTGTCCAAAGATTTCTGTCTTTTGTTTTGTAATTGTATGTCCTCATCCTCCTTTCTTTTTTTAACATTTATTATTTTCTTGGTAAGTTTCATAAGTAATCCTTTCTTTTCTTAGATAAGTTTCCAGTGCCTGAGTATCATTTATTTTGAAAATGTAAGGAGCAATTTTTTTGCCTTGTTCCTTTTTCAAAATACTTCTAATGGTGCTGTAATTTTTGGGTTTCATAGTAGATCTGATGTAAATGAGTTTCATATTAACTATTTTTGTCTAGACAAATATCATGATCACTGATGGCCCCAAAATTACCTTTCTTAATCGCCAAATCCAAAATGCCAAAACTAGTTTTTATGGTTTCCAAAATCAATTTTCATAATTGCCAAAATTGTTGCCGAAATTATTTGAACACTTTAACTCAATAGCCGTAATTCTGTGTGGTTTTCAATGTGGATTTATATGAAAAATATTGCTGTGCTGAAATGTTTGGCAAAATTACTTTTTTCTGAAAACAATTTTGGGGCCATCTTTAATCATGATCACATTACATTGGTAATACAATTGTGATCTTGTGATATTAAACAAACACTATTGATCCCTGAAATTCTTGTTAATACCAATGTTCACTTTGTCTGGTTTTGTTGCAGCATGCTCCAAATAAATGAATAAACAAATAAATAATCCAAGTAATTTGAATAAATGAATATAACGAATAATTCAAATAATTCATATAAATTTCTTTATCTGAGTTCAATTCATTACCTGATTTGTTTTAAATGTGGTTTTCTGAACTGAATTTTATAATTTGTTTTGGTCACGTATTTATAAGATCTTTTATGGTTGGCTCGGTCTAAAGACCTCCTATTGCTGCGCCACACGTTCAAATTTCAAAAAATTGCGATTTCGTGGTTTGTTCAAAAATGCAATAAAATTTTAAGACGAATTTTAAAACCAGTTTATGATCACATTTGGCTTAGAAAGTTATATTTTTATTTGTACAAACCATTAAGTTCAGTTTATTGAGTAAAGTAGAAATTATAATAAAATTCATCTTAACGAGATAATTTTTATTATATATGATTTGGTTAACCAATTTTGCATCATTATAAAGTGAAAATCGGTTTATGATAATTCAGTTTATCGAGGTTTGACTGTAATTTACTATTGTCTTTAAAACTTTAATTGAAGGTATCTCTAAATTTTATTAAGTAAGGTGAGTATGGTTTCTAAGCTAAAATTAATCCCTGCAGTGAATTGCATGTAGAAGTAGTGTTAACTCAAAATCACAAATTTGGTAGTTACCCTTTCTATTGTCATGTCCCATATATATATATATATATAAAATCAAGAAGACAAGTGGCATTTACACGAACTGGCACACAAAAGGCCACATGAGATTGAGAGTAAAATTTTTAGAATCACTTTGTGATTTTGCATTTACAATTCCATATTACTTTGCAGCAGAAAAATACTTCATTGTTTAGATTATTAACTATTAGAAGGAAAACAATCTAATGTTCATTATGGTAAGAGTTAAAGATCCCTGTTAATTATACTGGTGGTACAATAGTGATGTTAAACCCTGCAATCCTTGGTAATACCAATAAAAAATTTCAGATGAAATTTTAATCTTAAATTTTTTCTGTTGAATTCGTTCTTCAGCATGACAAGTACTTATAATTTTTTTTGGGACCTGGCTTCTTTAGACTCGTTAAAACGTGAAAAGGCTTCAATTGATTTAATTAAACATTTAGATCAAAGTTATAATGAACATAAAAAATCAAATAATAATAATAATTTATCTATCAAACCATCAGATAAGAAAAGTTTTATAAAGTAAGAATTTGCCATAAATTTTAATTTCGTTTTTTTTTTTCTTTGAATTAATTTTTTATTAATTGATGATATTTTTCAATTTATAGAGTAACAGAAATTTTAGAAAAAAAATATGGATCAGATGTTGCGTATTCACTTGTCCGTTTAACAAGAGGATTGGCAAGTCCACGAGCTGGTGCTAGACATGGATTTGCATTAGCTTTAACTGAGGTATCAATACACATATATGTTTGGAAAGAGGAAGTGTGCTGGGCTATTTTCAGATCATGACACATTTTTAAAAATTCAAAAAATTCAAAAAAATTTTTTTAAAGCTCCTTGCAAGTTTAGATTCTTTGGAATACCAAGAAATTGCAGTTCTTCTTGATGATGCTTGCCCGATGACTTCATTTAAAAATCGGGTAAATAATTAAATAAACAAAATCAAATAAATGACTTGTTGATTGATTGATTTTGTTTGATATAGGATGGATCAGATGTAATATATGGTCGTATTTTTGGCTACATGTCAATCATTCGATCAGGTTTGATCTGGAGAAAATATTCAGATAGTAAAGATTACTTTGAAGTGATTGATGGGCTAATTACTTGTTCAAAAAGTAAGCCTTACGTCAAGGAGACTTGTTATCATATTATTATTTCTACTATTCCACACGTAAGCATTTTGTTATTGTTATAGTTATTGTTTGAAGAATGTTTTGATTGGAAAATTTACAAAAAAATTTTTTTTTTTTGATAGTTAAAAAAATCTACTAAATTTGAGAACGAAGCTTTAGAACATCTTTTGATAGTCTTACAAAATCAATGCATTCATGGAATTAACAATCCAGATGGTCTTAATCTAGCACTTTCAATAGAAATCAATTATCCAGTGTGTGCATGAATTTTATTTTGCTTTATTTTTAAAAGAATTCTAAAACCTTTGTATAATAATTTTTCCTTAAAAATTTTATATTTATTTTATTAGGAAGTCGTAGATAATGATAAATGGAAGAAAATTATATTACATGAATGTAAAAAATGTGAAGGTGGGTGGTCAAAGCCTCAAATACTTCATATTAAAAATATAGAAAAATTATCAACTGCTCTACAGGTATGCACCAAATGCTACATACTATTTTATAACACTTTCTTCTAGTTATAAAGTCAACAACTCTCAGAACTAAAATCTTTTTCTCTTTAAAAAATTTTAAAATAAATAAAGGCAAAATCTATCAAAGATCCAACGAATAACATTCATCAAAATCAAGAAAACAAATTTCATTCAGTTTGGGAAACTGTTTTTCAATATCTAATTTCGCAATCTCAATCACCATTATTAGAGTCAAGTAAATCCAAATCTATGAATAAATTCATAACATTAGAAGTACTTTGGGAAGAAGTTGTCGATGGTAATTAATTAATTACTTTTTAATTATTATTGTGATTATTATTAAGTTATATATATATATATATATATAACATTGTTATAATTATAATAAATTTTCTTAGAATGTTTATTTTATGCCGATTCAACTCATCAAAGAAAATATTGGGGTTATCAATTGTTTGAAAAACTTTTACACTTATTACCTGATGCTGAACAGACATCATCACTTTTCTCACATAATCTCATGAGATCTTTAATTAATAATGTATCTGATCATGATCGTTATTTACACGAAGCTGCTATTCATGCTGTAAGGATTCATCAAGAATAGAAAGAAACTAGTTTATTAATTATTATCTAATTTAATGGTTAATTTGATTTTTATATTTTTATATACTAGTTGGACGTTATTAAGAGCGTGGCAATAGAAGATAAGCGAAAGGCTGTAGTGATATTGTGTCAATTATTTAAAAGTACAAATTATAACGATTTTGATAAAATAACAAAAACACAAATAGTCAAGAATATTTTTATGGAAATGGATGATAAAACACTTGAGAATTACGTTGAATATTTGAAAAAATTGTTCTTACGTCCTATTATCAAGAAATCCTTGAGGTATTTTCAATAAGACCATTTATTTTCTATTTATAGATCAGTGACAAATTTTTAATTATATTTTTATTTTAATGGATGCAACCTAAAAAAAACAGTGGCGAAGATGATGATACTAATGTTGGTGATATCGGAAGATATCGACAATGGTGTATAAATCATCTATACACACTTTTAAAAGATCCAAGAGTGAAACGTAGCGATGGATGGATACAATTAATTTTAGATATTTTTATAGAATATGGGTTTTTTACATCCAAGAACGATGCGATTGCTTCTTCCGATAAGAATAAAAAGGAAATTATAACAAACAAACAACAAAAACAAAAACGCGTTGATGAAAAAACAGATTATCAATATGAAATACCTAATCCTGAATTGACAGAAGAGATTCAAGAAATTTGTCGTACGCGATTTTATAATGCCTTGAGTGAATTGAGTACTCCTCGACAATCAAAGAATGGTAATTGATTAATTGATGAAAAAAGATTATTCGGCCAATTAAATCATTTAAATCATTTATTTATTTTGTTCTCACAGTGAATCATCAGAAAAGAAAAAGAAAATCATCTTTAAATAATAATGATGTTATTATTATGGATGACGATGAGAAAAAATGGGTAAATTATGCTGTTTGTCTTATGAAAAAATTGGATAATAATACTCAAGTAGAGCCCTTGATTATTTTAAATGAGGAGGGTAAATCGATTAAAGAATTGGTAATTTCTCTGCTAGACAAAATTACTCTAAAAGTAAGTTTTGAATTTATTATTAAATTGTTTATGAATCTATTTATTGAATTTGCGAATAAGAAATAAGAACAAGAAACTTTATATGATTATTTAATTGATAGTTGAAAAAATTAAAATGTGAAGAACAAACCAAAAAAAACATTGAAGCTACTAAAAAACTTGAAGGTTTCTCATGGTTATTTTCATTTGGCACATTGACTCTATATAATGAGCCAGTGGAAGCTCTAACTGCGCTAGAGGTAATATATTATAATGTTAATTGTTAGTTTTGTTAATTATTAATTGTTAATTATTTTAGTTTTTTTTTTTTTTTTTAGGATTTACAAATTTGTTATAATCAAATTTTTGAAAAATCAAAATCAAAAGCAAAAACAAATAAAAAATCCAAGAAAACTACAAAATCGCAGGAAAAAGAAGATGAAGGTGAAGATGAGAAATCACATAACCCTGTCGATGTTATAATAGATTTACTACTCGGATTTCTTGCTAAACCATCTGCATTTTTACATAATATGGCAACACATGCTTTTAGAATTTTTTGTGGTGATATTACTAAATCATCCTTAGATCTAATATTAGACGTATATATATTTATCAATTCATATATTTTAATTTAATTATTGGTTGATGACCATTGATAAGCTGATTAATATTAATCGGTTGGTTTATTAATTATTTATTTTTTTTTAACATTTGTTTAGCTATTAACCAAGAAAGATGATTTTGTTGATCAGGAATTATTGGAATTTATGGATATAGATGACGAATATGATGATGAATATGGTGACGCAAATGAAGATGAAGAAGAAGATGATGATGACGATGATGATGATGATGATGATGATGATGATGATGATGATGATGATGATGATGATGGTGATGATGGTGAGAGTGAGTCTGATACCGAAAATGGTAAGACAAAAAAACGAAAGTTAAATCCACTAAATAATAATAGTAATAATAAAAGTAAAAAAGATGATGAAAGCGATGACGACCAAGATGAGAAAATGGAAAGGTTTGATGAGAAATTGTCTGAAATTTTTAAAACAAAAAAGAAAGAACTAGCAAAGAAAATTGGTAATTAATAACTAATTTTTCCTACAACATACATATACATGTATTAATATTAATTCATTCATTTATTTATTATGTATGCGTAAACAGAGGCAAAGGCTCAAAAACTTCACTTTAAACATAAAATAATTGGATTATTAAAAATTTTTGTTCAAGAACAATCAAAAAATCCACTTATTTTCGAATTGTTTGTTCCGTTATTGGAATTCACCAGGAATGCCAAAACCAATGAAATTTCAAAAAGTGTGTACATTTTCTTGAAAACAAGAGTTGTCGTCATCAAAGATGGGCCAACAGCCGAGCTTGTCGATGATGATCGATTACTTGAAATAATGCAACAAGTTCAAGAGATTGCGCATAAATCAAAGTATAAGGACATGATGATTTTAAGTTGGAGTTTGAGTAATTTTTTGTTAAAAACATTATTAAAGAAACATCACCTTAATAACTCTGCTAACAATATTAATAATAATAAGGGTAAGAGTAGTAGTAATAAGGTCAGTGAATTGAATGAAACATTGAAAAAAGCAATGGAGATTTACGAATCGTCATATGAAAGATTCAAAACAACAAAATCAAGTTCTTTAACCATTGGTATGTTTTTACAATTACCTGGTCAATTTCCTCAATTTCCATGGAATTTTACCAAAGAAAAAAAATCATCATCTGCTAAAGTAATAAAATAAAAATACAATATTTAATATACGAACGTGATCATGATATATATATATATATATACACCATTTTAAATTTTCGAGCCATTTCTATAGCCAGTAATATAAAAGCACAACAAAAAAAATATTAATAATAATTGTGTAGCTCCCGTTAAAACCCATAAAAAAAACGAAATCTTATTGCCATTTACAATTTACATTAAACACAACGTAATGTATTATTTAACCGATACGAAGATATCATTGTCGAGTAACAACACAATATTCACTGGGACCTCGGGAAATTTCCAGAAAAATCTTTTAGTAATTTGTAATTTTGGGGATGATATTCGTCGTGCATTCACTAATAACGTCAATTAAAGGTTGGTTGCCGCCGACTACTTGTGAAAAGATCATGAAATCACTTGCCCTTACCAAGTAAATATAATAATAAGGCTAACAAGTAAATGTAGTATTTAAAAAATAAAGATGGGCGAGAGGTATTACTATATAACTGTTATATATATCATATTTATTTATATTGGTATATAGTAGGATCGAGTGGCGCCATTATCATGTTCATTTTTCTTGAGAGTAAATTAACTTATTTTATTATTATTATTATTATTATTATTATTATTATTATTACAATTACAATTTAATCGATACTATTTTTAAAAAGTAATTTTTTACCAGAAAATTTCAACTGCATTTTTTTCGTGAGATTATTATGATGGCATGATTATGAGCCTTATGCAAACACATACAATCAACATATAAAAAGCAAGATCATAAAAATGTCCTTTCTCATCAAATATAATGTTTATATGTAGTAATGAGTGAAAAATTATATGGGGGCAAGTAAAAAAGTAAAACCAGATTGAAGAGAAAGAAGAAAGAGAGGGAAAAAAAAGATGGCAAAATCAAATGAATAAAACTTTTTTTATAAAATCAAAAAAATGCACAAACACACGCTTTTTTAATATATTTTTTTTACTAAAAAAAATTTATTAACTAAAATAAGTAGCTAATCAAGGCGGCAGGATTTTGTTATATGACAAATATTAATAATAAATTAATGGAATAAGTCTAAATCTAAACTGAATTTATGTAGATATGTATGGGGGAAATGAATTGGATTGATTAAATTTAATAAATTGAATGAATTAAATGATAATGATATGAGAAATGAAAATAAGGTAATTTTTATTTATTTTTATTTGATACTTGTACATATATAAATAAATGTATGTGCATATATGTATATATATGTATGTATGTATGTGTGTGTATGTGTATGTGTATGTGTATGTAATATATTTGTAAATGTGGATTATTACTACTAATTAATATATAGTAATAGCTCGGAGACAAAGAGAACTTTAAGTTTAATTTAATAATTAGAATGACAGAAAGACTAAGACCAAGTAAGCAAGTATGAAAGAGAAAAGGGGAGGAAAAGACCAAGAAAGAAATTCAATCATTCCTTTTCTATATATTTTATATAATCATGGTCATCGTCGGCATCTAACAAAATCATAAATGTGATAAACATCATCATTTAGTTTTGGTGTGACAAAATAATTTTTCCTCCACCACACGCACCATTTCCTTGTAGTGGAAAAAACTTTTTTGTGCGAGAATGATGCTTTTAAACCAATTAAAAAAATATTATTTGTTTTTTATTTATTTTATATAATAAAAAAAATTTAAAATGATAAAAAAGATAGAAATTGTAAATTTTATTTATTTTTCATATGAATATGTTTAAAAATTGTAACCTTGATAACAAAACTTTTTAATTTGTATGATTTATTTATTTAATAAATATTTCATTTCATGTCATGCATTAAATATGAAATAGAAAAAAACACATGCAAATTTAGTTAATAGTATTTTTGATGATTTATTGGGTGGTAAAGCTACCATTTTTGGTTCTAACCCATTGTCATCAATGATGTGGATAATCTTCTTTGCTACTATATTTATCGATTAATTAGATAATTGGCTAAAATTATGGTTCTTTATAAAAATGTGCGTAAAATGAAGTTGATTGGTCAAATCACAGGGATTATAAAATTACAATTTATTATTAATTATTATTATTATTATTATTATTTAAAATTAGTTGATGATTAGTTGATTAAAAAAAAAATTATTTATATCTACAAAATAAATAAGAATAAAGTTTCCTTTATTACCGCTAATACACTAACATACAAACTAGCCTATTATTTATTACTATACTTATATATATGCTACTGTATTGCTACAATTATTAATAAATTTACATGTTTATATATATATATATATAGGGAAAGAAAATTAAATGTCCAAAAAAAAAATTTCTCTAAACAATGTTCATTTAAAACCAATTATTTTATTATTGATTAAAAAAAAAAGATATGCTCGATTGAAATGATTGATTATAATATTGATGCTTAATTATTATAATGATGATGATTAATGATGATGATGATGATATTGTTATTATAATGATGGTGGAAATGATGGATGACGATCTAACTATTTAATTTATTTTGCTTATTTAATATATTAATTAATTAATTAATTAATTAATTAATTATTGATGACTCTTCATTCCAATGTGATTTCGAGTACGTGGCATATCATGATTTGATTTGTTGTATTTTATAACGTTATAAAGTGTTTTATGTTGTGGTATGAAAATCAACCTTTCAATTGAGAAACTTTTTAAGAAGAAAAAAAAAAAAAATCGAGTAAATAAATTGAAGAAATCGAAGAAAAAAAAAATGAGACAAGCTTCAAACAAAATATAATTAGTTAGTTACCTTTTATTTGACGAGGAGGAAGATAGAGAAGATGCGCTAAACATCGAAATGAATAACGCCATAAAGAATAATAAAACTCCCTCATAAATACTATGAGCTGTTGTTGTCAATATTGGAAGAATGTTAACATCTTTAGTGTTTGAGATGGACCAAAGTGAGTTATAATGTTGTGACATTTTTGAGATTTTTTTTAATTCTTTTAAATATATTAAAGATGTTTTCTTTTTTTTTATATCACACAGTCTTTTTTAAAAAATAAAAAATCCTTGAGAAAAATAAGTTTTGAAAGTAGTAGTAGTAGTAGTAGTAGTTTTATTAATAATAATAAAACAGTAATAAAATATAAAAAAAAATATAAAAACAAAATAAAATAAAATATGATTTTTTATTTATTTAAATAATTTGTTTGACGAAAAGAAAAATGTAAAATTGTGTGGAAGACATATTCGTGTGCTTTTATAATTTAAATTTTTCTTATAAATAAATAAAATAAAAATAAAGATTATATATATATTCTTTGTTTAATTAATTTAAATTTGTTGTATAAATAAAAAATAAAATAAAATACACTAATACTAACTGTTGCATGAGGAAGATATTATTACACATCAACACATTACCTGTTTTTTTTTTATTATAATTTAATAAACTGATATGACTTATTGATAATGCAAAATTGTTAATTAAATGCGGAGAAAAATAAGTCACACTAAAAGCTCATCATCATAAACTATATTGATATATTGAATACTTTTTTGGTAAATACGATTAAAAAAAAATTAAAATTAAAGTTTTTAATTAATGTTTATTTATTATTTAAAAGTTTTAGCACGGTCGGTGTGTTGGGCGATGGAAATATTCCAACTGCGTGTAATTAATTATTCCGGTTGCGGATTATTAATATTATATCATCGATTAATTTGTTAAGTGATTTTAGTTGTCAACTATTATGTCAGTAATAATAATAATTAGTCGGTTATTAAAATTCCCACATTAGACAAATTATTCATTTTATTTATTTTTATCCTCATACACCTAATTAACTAATACACACTACTTTGACCTAGATATCTAAACTGACTGACTGATCAAAGTGCTGATAAGGTAGTTGGTATTAAAATTACACATTAATATTATAATTATTAATATTATAATAATTAATATTGTTAATTTTAGATTTTCCATTTTGCCATTTCCATTTCATTTTTCTTTCATTTATTTGCCACCCTAATTCTGTCATATAAACATTGATATTACATTATCTAGATATCTATCATCTCCCAAAAATAACAAAAAGATTTCCCAATTAATATAATTATTGCTGCACCATTATTTAATTAAAAAAAAAAATCTTCATATGTTTTAAGATAAATATTTATTAATTATTTCCAATTATTGAATTGTTTGCCAAATTTGTCCATAAAAAACATCCATAAAATTAAAATTAAAATCTAAAATACTATAAATACCATATACATGCACACGTTTTAGAATAAATAATAATAATAACAATAATAATAAATAATAAATAACCAAAGAAAATTTGTGTGATCGTCCAACGAAATTTTGAATGCGACTTTGATAATAATCAATCTAAAAATATCGTTGTCCCCTTTCTCTCTTTCTTTTTATTATTATTATTATTATTATTATTTTATTATTATTATTATTATCATTACAATAGTAATTATCATTATTAATATTGTGCGTGTATATATATATGTACGTGTGAAATATAATAAATTGACTGATACACCGATAATAAAATGTGAAAAGGCAAAAATAATGGTTCGATATTGTTTGCAAAGCACAAAAGACCTATTTTGTTTATTTTGTTTATTGTTTGTTTTAATTTCCTTCTTTTCCCGCCTTTTTTGTCCGTAGCCATCGTCGCAATTATTAAAAATTGATTTTTCCTCTTTCTAACCCGTTCTAATTACCATTAATGTTTAGTTTCTCACTCCTTTTTTCTCTCTTTCAAGTTTTTCCTCTTGTTTGTTTCATTTATTATTCCATCTTCCAAAATTAGGAATAAATTTGTGATACCCGACAAGCCGCAAAATGGAAATCTGAAATAATATATAGAAATTCGTTTCAACAAGCCACAGCCAAACATAGCAGTAATTCGCGTGTTACAAAAAATTTAGTGGTACAATATAACGAATTTTAAAATCCTAAAAATCCTTGTGAATTTTCCGAAAATATATGTAATTTATTGTATTACATATGTTATATATACTTTATTGTTGAAGTAAGTTTGTTATAAAGCTTTAATTTTATCATATAATGTTATAATGATTAATACCCTTTTTAAATTGGTACATTTTCATAGATAGTAGGTCTTCTTCATTGAATTAATTTGATACAATAAATCATTAAAGAATTTCTATTTTAATATTAATTATGGCAAAAGTAGAAGAGGTATTATGTAAGCTTAGCAAATATTACTTATTATATTTAAACATTTATGTTTTTTTATAATATTTAATTTTTATCTAATGAAATATAATTAATTGATTGATAATATGATTGATTGATTGATTGGTTGATTTTAATTTTTAAATATTTTATAGTTCACTTTGCATTAAAATAATACCAATGAAAATTGACAACCAAGAAAGAAAGGTAAATTCACAAGAGGTTTCATTCCAAGAAACATGCTACATATTTTCATGGAGGAAAGCAACTCTGGACTGTTAAACATGATAATTTATTGAATGAAACATTTGGTTGGGATATTGAATAGAAATAAAAAAATTGTATATACATCAAATTGCATTACTTCTTCTACTCATCAGGATGTTACACCACACCTCTTAATAAATGGGAGAAATGGTGGTGGCGTTGAAATTTCATGACTTGTGGTGCCAAGTAGAAAATTTTTGATTAAAGGTTGGCAGACTAGTTATAACTTAACTTTAGGTCTAGATTGATTGGATAGTGTTTTAGGTATTTAATAGTGTATGTGGCCAAAATGCTTCACTTTAGTATCAAAAAAAAAAAAAAAAAAGAAAGATATATGATGAATTCTATCTCATCTTTTTTGTTTATATATATATATATGTATATATAATATACATACATAATAGATTAATATATCAATTTAAAATTCATTTTTTACACACATACACTTACACTCTCAATTTTTTTATTCCTTAATAGTGAAACCAAAACAATACACCATTTTATTTTACAGTGTTCCCAAAATTGTTGGAAGTTCTTTAGCAGCAGCAAAATCCATATTATTTCAACAAACCCAAGATCTTAGTTAAAAATATCAAGTGATCAACTTATAATGTTATATATGGAATGAATGTGATGTACATGGGAGTGGAAAAATATTGTTCAAAAGAGTGAATTACTAGTATATAAAAAGTTTATACAAGAATAAGAGATTTAGAATGTCAGGATGTACCAAAGCAATTTACATTAAGGCATACATACCTTTTCAACACAGTGAATCTCGATTTAATTTTTATTCTGGAAAATTTATCCGTTAAACCGAGATATCCGTAAAAGCAAAATCTCTGGATTTAATGATAAAATCACGTGGTGTTCGCTAAATATTAACCATCAAATATAAAAAAAAACAATAAAATACCAGCAATAGTGAAAGTATGTTGTTACACAAAATGACATACAGAACCCATTGCTCCCGAAAATTCACCAGTGTATAGTTGTTACCTCTCTGAATTGGAGATCAAGTTCAGATCCAATTCAAATCCAGTTTATCGCTTCTTTTTTATTGCCGTGTATTGTAAAGTTACGTTGCACAATATAAAAAATTAATGTAACATTTCATCAAACATTTTTTTTTCTTGGGTACTTCTATAAGAAAATTCTCTTTTTAAATTTAATTATCTGAGAACTTCTAATTTTTTTTTTATTGTACATATTTAAATGCCATTTATAGTTTCTGTATAAAAAAAAATCCACCCCATGCAGGCGATTTCTGAAAGGTCGTACATTTCGGAAATCGTCCATAGTTTTTCTTTTTAGATTAAAATCATGTAATCGTACATTCCTTTGAAATGACAATAATCATTATCAAGGTAATAGAGTAATTATAAGTGGAAATTTATCTGTCAAATCCCAAAATCCATAAAATCAAGGACATAGATGATATATATAGACCTTTAATTGGCAATCCATTTTGTGAATGAATGAATGTTAAGTTAATTAATGATATGCGGGATGCATTTCTATATTTTGATAAATAAACAACATTGACAAAATAGACCCTTATAAATCTTTTTTTCTTAAATTGTCAAGGTTTCTTTCTTTTAACTTTTTACATTTAGAATTATTATCGTGTCACGGTAATTTATTATGATTAAATAATAATGTTTTAATTAAATATCAGATAATCGGAGTAATAAACCTAAAAGTATAAGATTTAGTTTTTCCCCTTTTGGCTTATTTTCATTTTGTTGATGAGATTTGCAAACCGTTCTTCAAAATATAAATTGGTACTTTATTTAATAACGAAAGCATTTTTGTCTTTTCGGGAAAAAGTAAACTCCGATTTTCTATTTTTCTTCTTTCGACGTATCATTTAGGAAACTTGGATTACTTTACTATCATTTAAAAATAACTAAAATGTCATTCATTGTATGTGTGTGTATATATATATATATATTTTAATGGAAACAAAAAGGAATGTTGATTTAAGTAATTGAGCAATTAAAAAAATGTTCCAGATGAAAATAAAATCATTGTAAAATATTAAATCTTAACCGTGAATAAAGAGTTTTTTCCCATATTTAATTAATATTTATCTGATCAATTTTATTTCCAGTTCTCGTAAATCTTGTACTACAAATCATCCTAATCATCTTCTAATTATTTGCAAGTTTTGGATTTGAGAGATGAAAATAATAATGAAAGTAGTAATAATGTTCAGTTCTATACATTTTAAAGGCTACATATTCACATTGTGCATCCATTCTTAATAGTATCATATACAGACTTATACAACAATATAGTTACAGTTACTCACTCACCATCATGTATGAAACTGCCGATTCTAATTTATGAAATTTATTGTCCTGCCAATAAACGTAATCTCCTACAAGCATATTCTTGACATATTGGTCCTTTGAATTCACGTTCCTTAATCAATTTGACCTTTACCACCTTCACATGCACCGAGTTCACACTCTCCTAATAATTATATCGTATTTTTTTGGTAATTGGGAACTGTTCTTACGTTTAGATACGCCAAACTGCATTCATCCCGTTTATATTCGTAAAACAATTATCAATAAACGTAACATATATATATATATATATATATATATATATATATATATATATATCACACTTTATATCATAAATAGTTAAATTTACCTAAGATGTTTTTCTTTATCATAAGTTTCTCCTTCCCAATCTCGTGTTTTTTTTGAATTGACTGACCAATGTAATTTAAAGATCATTTAAAACCTTGGGAATCTCATCGCTCATAACCATTAAATGAATAATATTAAACTATTTTAACCGTTTAGAAAATTTGACCCAATTATAGCAAAAATTACCTTATAAATCTATTTCAGCCCTAAAAATATCATTTACCCGCTCAAGTTAATCCTATCCGTCCACTAAATGCCTATTTTAACCACTATTATAACAAAAATCTATTTCAGGCATAAAATGCCTAACATAACATTTTGGATATAAGTTTCATCGTCAGGGTCTAATATAAACCCATGTTGAGGTTTGATTTTAATCCAAATTATATAATGAATCTTCAAAATTTTTTATTCAAGATTTACTTGAAAACTTTATTTGATTACTCCATTATTATTATAATTATCCACAGATCACTTGACTTTGGTTTTTCAGTTGTTTGCTTGTTTTATCCATTAAAAAAATTTAAAACTTTAAATGATGGATTAGCTTCAAACACAAAGCAATCGACCTTGATCTTTTAATACACTTGAATCTGAATCACCTCTTCAGTACTATTAGAAGGATCGCTTTTATTTGATTCGGTTAGCTTGGGATCTACTTTGTCACCATTTTTTTATGAATTTCTTGGACCTTAAATCATACAAGAAAAACTAGATATTACCTCCAAAATTTGCTGGGCCACGTTTCCAACTTTGTTGACATATTTGCTTGTTACGCTCGCTCAAAGTGAAAGCTATCTAAAACGGATCGGGTTATTAATAATCGCTGTGAATTACAACCCGGGTCACAACCTGCAGTTACAAAAAAATGTAAAAGGTTGATCAATTATCATGATTACGTTACTTCATCCAACCAAATATAACATTTTTACATTTAGCCATCTTTATAAATTCTAGATTGAGGCCCAATTTGGGTTCTGGTTGTTGTCAAATCGATTCATTTTATATCAAAGGACATCGTCGATGATGCGTTTTTGGCATTCTTAATCATTCTATTTATTATATATTTTATTGGTCAAAATCATGTAAAAAAATCATGTTATTTGTGATATACTTCAAAAAGTATAAATCTTTTAACACAATTGATAATAAAATCAACATTTTTACATAAGAATAGTCTTTTACTTAATTAATAAAGCCAGTGTGATTGATTCGCAATCCTTTCTAATGATTAATGGTTATTATAATTTGAATTAGAAATTTTATTTGTAAAAATTCCATTTCTTTTTATTAAAACTATTCTTTTATTATTATATTTTATAAAATGAAAAAAATCAAATTGTCTTTTACATACATACGAGTTGTATTAAATGTTTTTTCGAATTTTGACTTTGAAATTAACTACACGTAATAATAGTAATATGTGATAATATTAATAATGTGCTTGAGCTGTTTTTAGTATATAGCTGAATCGAAAACATATACAGGTTTGTCAATATTGGCACGTAGAACGACTTTTATATAGTACACGAGACAAGTTTAGGTGCAAATGTTTGTAAATTTTAATTTGGATTTTTAAAAGTGATGCTTTTTTTTTTAATTAGTTATTTTTATAAATTAATTAAAATGTTGAAACATTTAACGGTGGCTTTAATTATTTAAACATAAGTTTATTTAGTATGATATAAATCAAAGGGACGGAAGGGATGTATGTAATTCATAGTCAGCTTAAGCTTTCTTTTATTGGTCCGACATCTTTTCTTTCTTTTATTATAAATAGAACTTCCATCTGTTTAAAAAAAAATTTTGGCAACGCTTAACTCGACTTTAACATTAACGGAAATGATGACGTTGACATTGATGTTAACGTTAACGTTAACTTTAAACTATTCTATATACACAACGCAATCATTTTCATAACACTTGAAATTTCCTTTTTTAAACACTAAATTAAATTCATCATATTCTTTCGTTAAAAAACTTACACGAAATCTTATCAATTTTTCAAATTGCATTTTTTTTTATACCGGTCGCGTTTACTTAGTCGAAAATTATTTCGTCGACAATCATTTCGTCGAATGTTCATTTCGTCGAATGTTCGTTTTGTCGAATGTTCGTTTCGTCGAAAATTATTTTATCCTCGAGCCAGAGACCGAACGAGAGGAATGTGGGAAGTTAGTTAAGAAATTAGGTGAGGAAAGCGGAGTGTGTGGGAAGTGTGAGGAGAAATTTGTTTAATGAAG